CCACCGCCTCGGCTATCAGCCGCTGTGGTGTGAATCGCAGTCCCCGTCTTAAAACTTCCACATTCTCCAGATCTATTCTATGTCCCGTGTCTAAGGCATGTACCGCCATCGCTGAGTCTTTGACCAGCGTTTGGTATGCTTCTGCATTCCTTGGTGATTTGTTAATCCTTCTTTTATGCCCACCAATTCTGGTGTGCAATTCCCTAACAGTTTGTCCTATATCGAACTTAGCGCAATCGTTGCAGTTAATTTTATGCACACAGTCCCTAGTCCTTTCAACCGGCAGGGGATCTTTCAACTGGTTCTCCTTCCGCCTTAAATCTCGACCAACATCGGAACTTAGTCACTTGGCCTGACAAAGCTTTTGTGTCAAAAGTGAAACGTTGCCCAGCAGTAAATCTACCGATTGTCACCAAACTTTTTCGAAAATAGATGATACCAGCTTTTAGGACGGTCAAATCATAACAACCAATTTTACCTTTTGTAACCTTTCACTGACATTTCATTTTCTCTCTGTTGTTGCCAGCTGAGCCTCCCGTTAGTTCATCCGCAGTATAGCCACTCTTCATCACGTGACCTTTTTCATCTTCTTTGGGGTTTTTCCCACTCAAGTACTTGGTTTATCATACGTCGTAGAACAAGTTCCATAAATCTGACAAATCACCCAGCTAGCTCACAGACACAACAGTACTGTTTTTACGGCATTATTGTACTGCCAAAGCTCCATTGAGAGCGAAACTGTTCAGCCAATCGCTTTGCAACCGAGCGCTCCAGCGTACAAACTCCAGAGGAGATTGCAATATCGAATTTCCTGAAATGGGTGCTACGACAACGATTCGGGGCAAGCTCTCGAAAGACCGGGAAATGTCAACCTCATATCGACCTCATACTCTAATCTTGAAGGACGGTATATTATTAGATGAGAGAATGAGAGAGGCGATAACAGGGATCATGAATATCAGTAGTGATGGCAGATATCACGGCGCAGAAAAGAGGGAGGCAGTAACTTGCCACCACGAAACCAAAAAAGGCTCTGATGACGAAATAGAAAATGTCTAAACCTAGGAGCAGAAGCGCGCTGAGATGCAAAAAGAGAACTATATGGAAAAGGGAGAGACTATCTCAGTGAGTTATTTTGAAAGAGCTGACATCCAAGAAGCCATGTTTGATGGGCTTTTAAGTAATCGCGGATTCTACATCCATAGGGGCATAAACTAGTCCAAATGAATAAAACACCAGTGTCTTTTCACACCGAGAATATGTTCGGACGAACAGTGAGAATAATGCGATCGCATCAGACTTGAGTGGCTCATAGGCGAATACCCACCTAAGAATACTGGTTTCAAAGCCAATGTGCAGAAGAATACGACAGGCCAACCAGAAGGATTCTACCTGCCGGAGGAATGTGACTGAATTTAGCCAACAGTAAAGCAGGCAACCCGGAAGTAGGTTGTCTTCATGGTTCAAAGAGTACAACGTTGCCACCTTCTTTGATTTCGTACAAGAAGATCAAGACGTTTACAATTTAAATTTGGAAAACACAAAAATCCTGGAACCAAGAACACAAAAAAATTCTTGGAGGTGGGGTATTCCACGATGAATGCAGTCAACGCACATATTGATTCCAACTGAACTCAGACAAAAGGATCATCAGAATCAACAGCTGTGATCAAATGAAACTGTAGAAGTTCCCGATACGGAACTTTGAGTGACGCGTAGGTTCGACAATCCCAAATATCAAAAGGAAGAATTGGGTTCATAATTCTACGGTACTATTTACGCAAGGGTAAGCAAATGTGTGCAACAAACCTCAATTGTTCACGTTCGTGGCGTCAAAACAAGTTCACAGGTCTGTC